TGTCACTTGACTAAAGTCAAACTCTGCATCTTTTAGCCAGGAGTAATTAGGAATAAATGATTAAGTTCCCTAAATAATGAAGATGTGTGGGTCGATCTTCCTAAAGGAATCAGACAGATTTTCTCAATACGCTAAGAGTAGGCCATTTCCAATGTGTCACATTGGTATGAGGGACTAGAGGTCATCTGAGATCCTGTATGCCTCTGAATATTACCATTACTTAAGTTGAAAGCACTGAGATCCCTGAACTCTGGGAGAAGCATCTGTCCTTGCCAAAGTTCTTCTCCTTCCCCTAGTGGAAGAAGAGGTCATGTCCTAAACTTTGCCTTTCACCTAATCAAAAAAGGAATTACTGCTCCTCCTTTTAGGATCTAGAAGAATATAGTTTGGGGAACTCATTGTTGTAAGTTTATTAGTGACATGTCCTTTCTTATAATTACATCTTTACTTTCTGAGTAAGGATTAAGTAACCCCTTTCTTGAATGTCATATGAAGTTTCCTCTTCTCTAATGTTGATGCCCCAAGTCCACAAACACAGTATAAATATCCCAACTCTGTTTCATATTGTAAATATTCATAATAATGTTGTTGAATTGTTATTCTTTGTTTAACCCATCCAATGTTGTTTTGGTCACAAGTACAAATGTTGAAGAACCCGGAGGATTAAATCATTCAGTAGCACAGCTCATTCTTCTCTGATCCAGTGGTCAGTGTCAGACTTACAGGCTTCCCCAGATACAAACATGAAACTGCTTCAGTCCAGCTCCAAATTAACTCTATACTTAATAATGTGATGCTGGAAGAATAATCTAAGCCTGAATCTCAGGATGGCAATTATTGTAGGTCCCATTATCCCTACTATGTTAATGCTGAGAGCACCTAAGAAATCAAAGCTAACCATTATATACAGGTAACATAGAAAACAGGCAAGTAATATTTATCTACAAATTCACAGCAGGTTTAGTATGCCTACATCTATTAAAATATTTACTGACAACCATGGTATTATTAATAAATAGTATCTACAAGCTAGTACAAACCACTTCAAAATTCCTCAGACCCATGATTACAAAGCAACACTACTAATCAGTGTTTCATTCCTTGATTAGGAGTCAATATTTTGGCATTCTTTCAACAAAACAGTTCAAGCCAATTGCAGATGTATTGAAATTAATCTTCACAGCACACAATTCATGAGGTAACGGACTTAACAATTAAAATAAATTATATTGAAATCACTGACTATATATGAAATGTATCAAATATCTACCACTTCTATGATCCTATGGTAAGCACTTTGCATTAATCTTTCCTTTAAATTTATTGCAACACTACATCTCTCCACTTTTCTGCTCAGCTTGCTAAAGTATAACCACATACAATGAAATTCAACAATTTTAAGTGTTCAGTTTGATGAATTTTGGAAATTGTTCTTTTGTCACATAACCATTCACAACTGAAATATCAGCATTTTCTCCACCGTGGAGAGTTTCTTTTTTGCATTCCTACTAAACTCCAGGATAAATAATGGATGATCTCATTTCTGCTATTAAAACTTTATCTTCTCTAGAATTTTATGCAGTGACTTTCATAGAGAAGTTTGTCTTTCAATGTCAGATTCTTTACATTTAGTGTAGTATTTTTGAGATTCATTCATGTACCTGTACTAGAAGTTCCTTCTGTTGTATTGCTGAGCAGCATTCATTTTATAGATAAACAGTCATGCATCTCTATATGAAATGATACATTATGAAAAATTAACCACTAGGGGATTTCTGCCTCTGAACTCAACATGGATTTTGTATGATTAAGGGCCATACTAAACAAAATTTCACAAGATAAATCAAGCACAAGGGAATAAATGCTATCAAGAAACTTGGTAAGCAGGAGATGTATGAGGCTGCTGCTGGTGTTAAATGTACATGTATGCAATAGTTATGTCATCATAAGGCAGTGAGAATTCTAGACTAGCACTGTATGTGCAATCTGTCCTTAGCCAGAATGTCATTATGTGGCACTTCACTATAATACAATATATTTGCCATCTGATGGACTTCAGGATATTTTTCAGTTCAGTCATACATCCAAATATAAATCAGAAATATAAAAACCAGAATATATTTCAAATTAACATTACAAAACTGAATAATTTTTTAAAATTTATTATTTCTACAAAGGTTCTGGAGTAAAATAAATAGAACTACAATGTATTCATTAAGATGCTCAAATTAACTAATGGACATGAACTTTGCACTTTAATTTAAGTCTCTGACTTTGAGACAATGTTTAAACTGTAGTAATAATAACATATATAAGTTAAAGTTCTCCAGAACTTGTGTGTGTGTGTGTATGTGTGTGCATGAGAGAGAGACAGATAGACAGACACATACTGAAAGGGAATGTCTGCACTATTGTTATTTCCAGAAATACTGTCAGAAATAAAATAAAATTCTACTGAGTCAAATACAAAAATTAAATTAAACCTTAATTGCTTTCATTAATTTTGCATAAAAATGTGGTTAAGCTTGGACAACAAAACAGTATTGAGTAATTTCTTAAGAATACTTTTAATATTTGAGAAATATATTTAATATACCCAATTGATAGGGTGAAAGAGCTATTTATGAAAAATTTAAAGCATTTCAAGCAAATTCTTAATTTAAGAGGATTAACTAGTTTGGAGGTTGAAGTGATGTTTTCAAAATTAAATATGGTGATTTGTAATGGAAAAATTAATGTTTCATAAAATATTCTATTACTGATTCTATGCACACAAAATCTTCAGTACACAATCTATAAAAAGTCTTCATTCTTTCATGCTGTGGCCTCATTTTCAAATGCATTAACTGCACATTTATAGTGAAGGATATTGTCTATCTCTTTTTGGGTGGGTGTGGGCTTGATGGGTATAAAGGACACCATATGATATCTTAGTTATGTTAATGAGACATAAGCAGGCTTAATTTGTATTAGATAAGATACAGTAAGTTTCTAGGAAAATTCTTAATATAAAACATTGAATTTATATAATTATTTTTAAATAATTTCAATCTTATCACTCATCATCGATTCCTTTATTTAGCACCTGACAATATATAAAATTAATTAAAAGTAAATATATATTTGACATCTGGAGAAGTTACTTTTTTAAATGTCACTGTAAGGTATAGAAAATCACTATTTTAAGAGCTTCTGTTATTAAAAAATATTTATTAAGGCATACTTTGGGGAAGTGTCTTCATTTTATTTTATATGATAAAGCATGTATTTTTTTATTTAGAAAGTAAAAACACTCTTACTTAGCAATATACTAAAGAACATTAAATGGAGTAATCTTGGCAAGTTTTCCTCCAGCAGTTACAGGTTTCATTTCCTTAAATTAAAACCATGACCAAAGTTAAAGTTTTATTCCATATTTATTAATCTGCCAATGTGGACTGTATCCAGAATCATGTAAAAACTTGGAAATAAACCTCAGATTCTTTAAAAAAAAAAGGTAAATTATATGTTTAAAAATCAATGAACAAGAATCATACACTTGAAAAAATTTACCTGATTTCATATGCTCAGCATATAAAAACAGTTATTTAGAAAGGGTAAGAAAACACTACTAGAGATAGACCTGTTTTTCAGCAACAAAAGTAACACTTGAGATACTGAAAAATAATTTTCATTGCACAGAAAACAGTTATTAGAACCCCATGTGTAGCATTTTCAGTGTAGAGAATAAATAGTGTAAATATGACTATTATCCAGATAAATATTTTATTCAGTATTATTGTAATATAATATTTTCTAGAATAATCATGCTATTTAAATTTAATCATGCTATTTGCTAGTACTTAGATGAAGTACAATTACAATATAAACCAGAAGAAACTGTTTCTTCCTTTTAAAAATGAACAAATTCAGTCATTTTCTTATTCACCTGGGAATTGACTAGTCATTCATCTGTGTTGAAGGCTCTAATTTGCATACATTTGCATTGTAAGTTTGGAAAAAATGTTCAAAGAGATTGTGAAACACTGGCAATACACATTGTTGGGAAATACTCACATGATGAATACTTTTTGTCTGTGGAAAGTGATGGACCATGATCTACTAGGGTTGGTGAAACCATACTAAAAAATAAAATGTGAAAACAGGTTTTTTGCAATGCACAACTATCTCTATTAATGCATAGTTCTTCACCACATCTAACCTTATATTTACGATTTTCCCCTATTCAAGTCCTTTTTTTGCAACATTTAGCATATATTTCACTCATACTTTTTAAAAATGTTAATTCTTTTCATCTTCACAGTTCTCCGAGGTTAGTACCTTTATTGTATCAATCTCAAAAATATGTAAGCTGTAGTACAAGGATAAAAAACTAGACCAAACAGTAAATTAGAAAATGGTAGCGTGATGTATAAACACAAACAGTGACCTTGGAATTTGTATACTTAACCTGAAAAATAGACTAAGTCCATCCTTAAAATGTTAACCTGTCTTAGAAATTATAGCCTTAATGTCAAGTGAGACAAGTACCAAATAAACAAATAAGCAAACAAATAATTTGAAAATATATATATATATATTTAGAAATTTGTATGATATGTTATAAATAGCACATTTTAAAAAATCTCTCTGACATAAATATAAATCTACAGTAGAAATTAATAGAAAATCTTTTTTTCAACTTTCTTATAATTTTAAGTTTTCTGGGTTTTTTTGATCTAAACATTTTTATGATAGAGCAAAATGAAATATTATTACATGTCATGTGCTAGGAATCCAGATATATGAGGGCATTGTCTAAGGCCATCATCTATTTTATCCACAGGCCCTCATTGGATTATGGACCAAGTTGAAAGAATGGCAAGGGAAGTAAAGACAATTTACTAGTTGTTGAGCTTTGAGTAATGTGGCAATCCAGATCTAGGGTACCATAGACTGAAGCATAACAGCAACGAACTGCATATCCTGCTTCCCAAGCTCCAATTTGAATCATAAAATTTTACAAGGCTTCAGATATCCGTGGAGGAGAAAGTGTCTGATCTCGTTCAAGGAAGGAGAACATCATACCCAGCTAATTTCTGGGAAAAGAGCCCGCAAATATTTCACATTCATAGTCCTGGAAAATGATCAATTTAGTTAAAAGTCTGGGAAAAACACAACAAAACACACTCCTCTCCCATCTTTGCAGCTTGGATGTAAGTTGAGTCACGCTCCCAATATTTTTTTTTTTAATATTTATTTATGCATACAAGAGCTGGGGCACAGGCCAGAAGTGCAGGGGGGTGAGAGGATCCACCAGAGACAGAGTGGGGAACAGAACAGTCAGACTGACCAAAGTACAATGCCGAGGGGAGCAGCGGGTGAGCCAGGAGAGGTCTGCTGCGCCATGTGGGCTGCTCCCTGGCCAGCCAGGGATAGAACTCGTGCTGCAGAGGCCATGGACAGCTTCACAGACTGCTTCTTAACAAAAACCCCTGCGCCACAAGGGAGGCCTACGCTCCCACTATTAAGACAGGCTACCTACACCTCTGTCTCAGCTTTCACCACCTGGAACCCCACAGACCAGAGATTCCTACAGATGCAAGCCCAGAGTATTTCATGTGGATACAGCTGATTATGGGCATGCTTGTTATATTACATTTTCTCTGTGTACAAGACAGTCCTGAGCCTACATTCCCCCAAGAAACTTTTCCTCAACCTCCTTCTTCTTGGCCTTCTGGATCTGTCTGCTGCATCTCCTGTACACTGCCCCTCACCTTAGTTTATGTTTTTAATCTTTTAACAGATGCCAGAAATTCACCCCAGCATAGAGCAGGAGGGAAAAATGTCATTCTCTGCACTGGGTCTAATGGGAATGTTTTTAACCATGTAAAGTAACATTCACAGGTTCTGGGGATTAGGATCTGGTTATCTTTGGGAGCCATATATTCAGTTGTGGGCAAGGCAATCAAGAGAACTGACAGCCTCTTTGATCTGAGAGCTGGACCAGGGCAACCAGAGGCTTCTCATCCTCCCCCTCTCACCTTTCCCATTGAAGTGTGCAATTCCAGAAGCCAGTCTAAGGGGACAGTCTTGAGAAAATGTGTTACAATGAAATGTGTTGTTGATACTATCTGGGCTTGGATATGTGACTGAACACAGCTGAAGCCTCTACTAAACATTTTCTGAGATTTGATAGTATGGTGGTGGTGGTAGTGGGGGGTGTGCGTGTGTGTGTGTGCGTGTGTACTTGAATTAATTAAGAGGTTACCTAATTGTGGACACTGGATGTCTGTTGAGATCTTTCTGACTAAAAACAAGGGTTCATAGTGAACATGAATTAGAATGTGCTCTATAAGCTAGGTTGCTTAATATTTTCTGCTCTTGTGTTTCCTGTTAATCTTCTACCTCTGATTTCATGGTTATGTAACTGACATCTTTGTCTTTTATAATTTGAAGTACCATTCTTACATGAAAGATGACACGATTGTAATTTTCCGTTTTATTCATTGAGTTTAAAATAAATTGTAGCAATTTAAAATTAATAAGAAATTATAAGAGTAAACTCTGAACTCAAATTGTTGGAACTGACAAACATTTTTCTCTCATTGTTCTGGAAGTTAAAATATAGTAAAAATATAGATGTTCTATGAGTCTTTCTTAACTCCATTGTACTGATTTTTCTCCTTCGTTAAAAGACAAGTATTCAATTTTAAGCACTGTACTTAATACTGATATCATAGACATATCATCATTTGCCAATTTTAGGAATTCTATCATGTAAAGAAAACACTATACAATTTATACATTGAAAAATGAAATACCTCGGGGTGTTCAAACACTAAAATAGAATATATGATTATAATGTTAATGACACCCACAGAAATATTCTGAACTACAGTATATATATTTTAGCATAAAGAGAAAATTTGAAAAATTTTCTGATCATTCAGGAAAAACAATGCAGTAGGTAAAATGTAATTGATTAAAATCTGAGCTTACCAACTTAAAAAGTCTAAGACTATGGACAAATTATACCATCTCTTTTATATTTTTTTCTAACCTATATTTAAGGAAAATACCTAAAATATAGACCTAAAATTAGAAGAGAAAGATCTGTGTAGAAGGACATGTGTTTAAACAATTCTGAAATAATTTTATGGATACTTCCCATCTCCTCACCCTTCTGTTTCTTCACATCCTGCTCTGTTTCAGAGGAAACTGACCTCCAAGGCCCACTTCAGTGTTTTCCTTGCACTCTGACTTTTGGTTAAAATTAAGCAATGAAAGGTGCCAGCTGAGAACTGGAATGAAGGAGAGGTTATACTGGCAACCTTTTCCTCTTTCCCTGTCAGATTTAACAGTGTTAGCCGTGTCATTCCACCAAAAGACACAACTTCTTTCCTACAATCATTCTCTCCATGTATTTGAGTAAGGCTTCCCTTCCACTGGTCCTACTTTTCAAGAGATAGTAATGGCTCCCACATTTTTCTAGTTCTCTGTTTCTACTTTGCCATCTCTTGACGTTCTTACCCCTGCCTATCTATCTATCTGTCTATCTATCTCTCTAATTTATATATATATACATAATTTCATCATTAAATCTTTTCAATCATTAGAGTGACTATGTACCATAGTTAGCTCAGGAAAGCTTCAGTTTATGCCTCTTGTTCTCATGTTTTTATACAGGGCAGACTGCTGGCAGGTTCACCTGTGAACAACCTCACTGAACGAGTATGGCATCTCTTTCCTGATGTGACCCTGATACAGGTCATTTCAAAAATACAAATTTTATTGAATAATTATTTAGTAAACAGTATGTGAAATATGAGTATTTTAGGTGATGATAAGCCGCTCACTAATAAGTTATATTTCCAGAAGTCACTGAGAAATTAAATCTGAGTTTTACATTCAATTTGGTATCTAAAATGACGAGAGGTCAAATTTAACTATTTTTTTTCAGACTTAACTACAAATAGGAGATGTTCTATGAATTACTTCAGCTCATGAAGTAACCTTATTACTGCCTACTTAATGAATTTTTATATTCTTTTATAGTCAGATTTTCTAGTAGAAAAATTATTAAATATTTTTATTAATATTATTATATATAATATATAAAGCTATTAAATGCATTATTTATCTTATGTTTCCACCATGGATTATAGAATGATCAGAATAACTCATGACAGGGTACCTGGTTTTATGGTTAGAAAATATTCAAAGATATTTATTTTTATCTTCACAATTTAAAAAGCAGAATCAATGGATTTGCTGATGTCCCCACATTATTCATCCAGTTGTGAACAGGACTTGCCTAGAAGACATAAGAATATAGTCTGTTTGTTCTACCTTTTAGGAGGCTGGCCTTGGCTTATTTTTACCAATACTTTTTGTTGCTTTGCGTTGCCTACTGTGACTTGGTTCCCTGGAGTTAATCATTTCACACATCAGAAATTTATAAGCTATTAATTTTTATAAATTAAACTATTTTCCAAAGTCTCTGTGTTTGTACTTTCCTTCATATTACAAACGACATGTTGGTTATTAGTTGTATTTTGTCCTCATTCAAAAAGGTGTGTTGGAGTCCTAACCACAAGGACCTCAGTCTATTACTTTATTTCTATTACTTTAATCAAATTACTGGCCATTAAGGTGCGCTCTAATCCAATATGACTGGTATCCTTATTAAAAAAGGGGAGATTTAGACACAGAGACAGATCATATAGAGTGATTGATATAAATGTCTCAAAGATAAAAATAGATTAACTGATGGCTCTTATATTCTTTCCATCTTTAAATGTCTATGTTTGTGGTCTTCCTACCACACTATTTGCAGAATTGGGTACACTGAGGCTGACATCTAACTTCTTCCTTAATTCTATGAAATTTAAAAATGATATTTTTTTTGGCCACGTTATTCAAGAGCAAGTAAATGACACATCAATGAATTTCTATTTTGCACATGTAATTGCTCTTTTTAAAAATTTAAATGTTAGGGAAACTAGAAATGCTAAGAGACAGGAAATACATGAATGCATACAACATACTTTTAGGATATTAAGAGTTCTATACCATTTAAATATTAGGGGACTTGGCAAAAAAAAGGCTTGTCACCACAAGAAGAAACAGGAAACAGTTATAAAATTTTCCCTATAATTTGTGTTTACTGACCTTAGAGTATTTATACTTATAGATTTAATAGTCTATAATATTTACTATAGTAAATTTGATATATATCTCCTTTAGTTACGTATAGTTTACTTTCCTTTTTTGCTAAGCCATATTTTGTTTTTATATTAAACAATTCCAATTTAATTGTACTTCAGCATTTATAGAGAATATTTAATATCTGTAGATCACCAATATACTGTAAATAAGCATAGTAATCAGAAAACAATATTCAAATCTATTCAAAACAATATTCAAACCAATACGTAAAAAAATTTTTTCATAAGCCACTTCCACTCATACCTTAATTTTCCTAACACCAAAGCAACATGAAGTTGCTATATAATGTCAGAATTTGATAACATATCAGCTCAAGTTTGATTATAAAACACAATGAAGTAAAGGTGCATAACTTTAATTTTAATCTTCAGATAAGAATCACAAATTTCGTGCCTCCTTGGTGGTGCAAGGGGTTAAGCACAGCACTTTGAAGCAATCACAGCCTTGGCAGCACAAGTCAGATCCCCAGCCAGCCAGGGAGCAACCCACATGGCGCAGCAGACTTCTGACTCGTCCGCTGCTCCCCTCAGCAGTGTATTTCAGTCAGTCTGCCTGTTCTGTTCCCCACTCTGTCTCTGGTGAATCATCTCACCCCCAACACCTCTGGCCAGTACCCCAGCTCTTGTATACATAAATAAATCTTTAAAAAAAATTGTAAGTTTCAAAACTAGTTCTGGAGGAGTTAAGCACTTTGGAAACTGCCAGTACCCTCTAGTGTACATTATCAATAAAAACCTCAAATAAAATGAACAACATTGCCTTTTTCTTTAACGATTACCATTTCTCTATACTCTGCTTGTTTGTTTTAATACTTCCAAGCATGCAATCAAACAACGATTACCTGAGGGAAAAATGATGAAACATGCTGATTATAAATATTTCTTAGCCATAGTGTAATACATAGGAATCTATTTCTTGGTTAAGGATTGTAATTCCTGTTCATGTTCATGTCAGTTGAAAATTTATATTGATGGGAGAATTAGACCTCAAAGTGGTTCTTATTCTCAAACTCTGTCATGGTTATTGATTTAACTGACATTTAAACTATCATAGTGTATCACAAACATACACAAATTCTTACATATCTGTCAAAGTCAATGAAAATGCAGGTACAGAAAGAAAAGGTTTCTAAAAAGTGAAGTGGAATATTACATTAAGTTAGCTGCTTTTAGGAATCATCTGGATTAACCAGAATTCCTATTATTTCTGGCATAAAGCCTGGAAGCTTAATTGTGCACAGTGGGACATCCTTGACATCACCCAGATGCTACAGCTAGTACATAATAAAATATTTTCCAAGCCATTGTTCTCAAATTTACACTGGCTCTCCTATATATACAGTAGCATAAGAAAAATCAAATAATATACAGCACATACCCATTTGGAATCATATGAAAAGATAGATGAAATCCAAACAGAAACCTCACTTCTCTAATTTATTGTAAGAGCCAATGACATTGGTGTTGAGTTCCTTATTTTAGAAAAAAAAATCCCAATAATGTCTGCATAGTTACCAGTTAATGTGCTCAGCTATTTGTCCTTTACTGTAACAATTACATTTTGTGGTTATTATGTAGGGTAATACTTCAAAAGCAAATTGGTTGTCAGAGGAAATTAAGTATTCCTAAAAATGTAGATTTATCACCTGAAAGAAATGGCTGTTTATTTCTTGCATATAAACAGATAACTATACAGTAGAGTGCTTTCATACAAGAAACCCTAAGCCATTTATCTTTTTTTTTTTTTGAGAAATTAATGCATTTTAAAAAGAAAACTCATGATACATTAACTATTATTCAAAGACTATAGCAATACAGATTGAATTGAATAAAAAAGTACTTTGATCACAAAAGTACATCAGTACAGAGTCTGGATCTTTTAAATAAGGAAAAGCTAAAATGAAATATCAAGGTTATATTGTGGTTCTCATTTAAGCAACTTTCCTGTACAGGATAAGGTTTGAAGGAAAATAATAATACATTTTATATCAGCTCTATTATGTCTAATTATAACTTCCTCATATATTCTTTCCTTTTATTCTGTTTTTCTTTCATACCCTCCATTGTTTTTTAAGTTCCATCAGCATTGCCAGAGATGTTGCCCTGAATTCCCTTTCTTTCTTGCTCCACAATTCTGCTGAGTTGAGACTGCCTTTGGGTCTTATTTTACCCTGGCATTTGTGATGTGTTCACATCAATTTTTTATAGATTTTAACAGAGATAGATTTTCAACTGCTGTATTTTCACTTGGAATAATGCGGGACTGATATCAGTGAGAAGTAATAGCTATAAAAGAGGACCTGGCTAGTGGACACCAAAGGATCACCTTTTCTAGACTCCGAAATTTGAACTTCCTGTGGTGCTGTGGTGCCAGAGTTGTGTGGTGCGGATCCAGTGTGATTCCCTTCTCCAGGTTAGCTTCTGGGTCTGTGTCACTTCCAGTCTCCTGTCCACTTCCACTCTAGGCAATTTTCAAGCACTTAGATGCAGTGCGGACATGGATTGATTGCAGTTGACATGGGGTCACAGGCTAAGAGCTGTTCTCTTTTCCTCCCCAACATGAAGTCTAATCCTGAGCACTACACTCCCACTCTTGATAGATGCTCCAACTCTGGTTTGTTCAGTGTTTCTTTGTGGGTTTGATGGGTGGTTGGATATCCCAGCCTGGGCTTCAAGCAGCAGCCTCTCCTATAGGGAAGTCCAGGCGCCCTGACTCAGTGAGGTGACACTGTTTTATGTTAGAGCCTCAGACTGAAGCCAGGAGTCCCTGCCCTGTGCCCTCACCTCTGCAGCTCGCCAGCAATGCTTGCTCTCTCTCTCTCTCTCTCTCTCTCTCTCTCTCTCTCTCTCTCTCTCTCTCTCGGCCTACTCATACACCCTTTATCCAGGGTAGGGCTGAGTCTTAGTGCCTGAATGTGCTCCCATCCACTGCTGTAAGGGACTACAGAGCAGCCCCTCCTCTCTCTTGTGGGCTGCACTGTCTCTGCCTCATTATCACTCTAAACAAAGTTCTCTTAAAGTTTTTCCAATATCTTTCCTCAGGACGAATGCTACTATTGTGTGCTGTAGTCATCAGTTTTCCCCTCAGCAGTGTTTTGACTTTGTTATACAAAAGTATTTATGTGAGTATCTGGAGGAGAGGAGCTGGGCTTCTTTACTGTGCCACAGTCTTGTTGGACCTCAAAATAATATAACATTTTAAAAATTGTAGCAATATAAGCTCAAGGCTTAAGTGAACATAAACACACAAACATGTACATGCACATACACAAGAAGCATTCCAGCTCCTAATCCTCATGGTAGCCAGAGAGGAAAAGTCACTGAAGAATTAGAAGAAGGGACAATAGGAAAATGGAAAATCTCTAGTTTTCTCTAAAGAAATGCTAATATTAACTGAACTTTACACACGTAATAGTGGATATACAGGGTAAAAGTCCATATCTGTCGGAAGTATTCAGTGATTTCCACACTTTTTATGATCATAGGACTCTGTAAAATTATATATTTAATAGTATAAGGAAATATCAGTTCCTATCCTATATTGAAGACATGGATCCAAATAATATTTTTTGGGGAAAAAATTGTACCAAATATGTTAATGCACTCAAATAATTAAACCTCAACACTGGAGAAGAAATTGAATTGATGAACTTTTGTTGATGATACTTAAAAGCTACCCTTCTTATTTTTTGTTTTGATTTTACTATTATTTGGAAAATGTAGTAAATGGTTAGACAGAATTTTTCTTTGTTTGGTTTCTGATTTCACCTTATAAAGAAGTACATGAAAGTTAATTTCAGTTATGTTGATTTGAACCATATAAAATTGTTAATGTTTAATATATTTGACCATTAAAATAGCAATATTACATAGCTCAATCTCATAATCAATAAAACATGTAAAATGGAAAATTATTATCATGCATGCTTTTTTCCTAGTGTGCTGATAATATATTTAGCGACTAAACTAAAAATGATAATTATTTGCTCTAAGAATTCTATGTCTGTACTGCTGGAACAGTCATTTGAAGGTGCAAATTACATCTTCTCTGCTGGATGCCTGCGGCTGCTTCTACAAAGATTACAACCTTTGCACCTTCCCAGACACAGGTCTTCTCCACAGTTTAGGGTGAACTGAATGGACCTCAGGGAGTCAAGAGGCGAAGTGACATTTGGTTAGGAGAGTTCTTCCTTCAGTTCAAGAATAAAAATAGATTATTTTCAAAAAAGTTAAGAGATGCATTATTTATAGCTATGTCCTTTATCTTCTTCCTTTTTACAATTCTTCTAGAATTGCTTATTGCTTTTAAAATCGAGAACCAAGCCTAACTGCAAACATTAAAAAGGTAAATATATTTTCTTATATTTTAAATTATATTTTGGCTGCTAAACATTCAAGATAATTAAAAACATCTTTTATCCTGAGCTGCCAGGATATGAGAGCTGTCAGAACCCTATATGTTGCTTTTGACAGGCTTTAAATATTTTATAATTTGTTTCTTCAAAAACGTGGAAAGAATTATCATTCCAGAGCATCTCAGAACAAAGAGAATGAAAATGTAATGTGAAGGTGGTTAATTATACTAAAATAAACTAATGTATTAAAAATAAAATTTGGATAGCTGTACTTAGAATCTAATATAAAAGGCTATAGATAGCATATGATGATATTTATAATTCAAAAAAATTAAAACTAATATTAATTAAGGAAATAAGTATTTCAAGTGATTATTATATTATTACTAATAAAATATTGAACAAGTTATCATCTTGTTAGGCAATTCATGTAGAAATTATGATCAGTATATGCAGTATATTTTGTGAAAGTCACAAGGTCTTAGTGAAGTGAAATTAGACATAATTAGAAAAGTGGTTGCAGTGATAAAGATATCCCAGTGCAACTAACACCTGCAAAAACCCTCACATTAAAGCAACCAAATCAACATGGGCTAAATTTGACCCTGTTTTGTTTACTAGCCTGTGAGTTAAGAATTTTTTTTCATTTCTTATATTTTGTAAGATTGCTAAAAGAAGAAGTAAGAGTAGGAGCAGGTTGTGGTCGGAGGAGGAGGGGGAGGGGAATAAGGAGGAAGGAGGGAATGTGATGGGGGGGGAGTAGAGGGGCAGGAGGAGGAGAGGGAGAAGGAGGGTGTTTGTGATCTACAAAACCTAGAACATGTTCTACTTGAACTTGACCCTTTACAGAACAGGCTGTAGTTTCCTATTCCAATTATATCAAACATTAAATAGTAATGCAATAGGAGAAAGACTAGTTGATATGCTTTGATAATCGTCTTACAAAAGGGCTTTGTCAATGTAAACAATTTGAATACTTCTTAAGCAGCAAAAGATTTGAATTTTCCCTGGAAGGGTTAAATTTATGAAGGGCATCTATGATGGACCAATTGGATTTACATGTTTAATGTGATCACTTAAATCTCAGGCATATATGAGATTTATATATTTAGATATAGAATATATCTATCTATCTATCTATCTATCTATCTATATATATATATATATATATAGAGAGAGAGAGAGAGAGAGAGAGAGATTCTACCAATATATATATTGGTCAGAAACATCAATAAAAAGTTGAGGTTCTTTTAGGCAGATAAAATTTTATCTGCCTAAAGCTAGGTGTCTGTCTCAAATTGTAAAACCTTGATTTTTTTTTAAAGATTTATTTATTTATGCATACAAGAGCTGGGGTACAGGCCATATCTGTTGGGGGTGAGAGGATTCACCAAAGACAGAGTAGGGAACAGAACAGGCGGATTGACTGAAACACACTGCTGAGGGGAGCAGCGGGCGAGACAGGAGAGATCTGCTGTACCATGTGGGTAGCTCCCTGACCTACAAGGGATCGAACTTGTGCTACAGAGGCTGTGTATTGCTTCATAGCACAGTGCTTAACCCCTTGCGCCACCAGGGAGGCCCTGAAAAACTTTGATTTTATAAGGTGAGTTTATTGCTGAAATGATAAATTATTTTCAAGAATGTCAACATTATATTTGGTAGAGGCTCTGCCAAAGGTCTAGACTCATAAACTCTGCAATAGCAAATTGTCACTTCTCTAGGAAAACTTGTAAGTTTCAAAGACAAGCAAGAGGAAATCTTAAATGGACTACTGAATAAGCCACACAGAAATGCGTTTTGCTCATAATGCTTTATACAATTATTTAATCTTCAGAGCAACTGGATTATAAAAATTGCAGGAGAAGCCCTGAAGCTTAGCTGTCAGAATGAACATTACAGATTCTGGGATATAGGTTTTCACAGCTCAGCCACTTATTGTAAGAGAAAGCATGGGATGAATGTCACTGGCATATTCTAAATATTTGGCATTTAGCCTTAAGATAACTTTTATGCTTTTATGGGCAGATATTTCATACTTATATATTTAATCTTTTTCTATAACACATAGTATTTATTGTGAATAAATATATAAACAACAGAATAATTTAAATTGTTTTTTGAGGGGTGATATCTGGTTAACCTCTCAAGTATAATTTCCTTCTAAGATTAAATGTGTAAGGGATTTGTTTTGTTCTGTTTTTTTAGGTGTCAATATTTACTTTTCTGAAACAAAGCAATTTATTGATATTTCCTGCATAAATGTGAGGATGACAAGTCTGGGTTTACAGTTAAGCACTTTAAACAGGCAATATATGGATATAAAGATAGAGATATACAGAAGGTGAAAATTCAGCAAGGAGGAGGCCTAAGCAGCAATTATCACAAATGACTAAATTTCTAAACTATTGTGATAACTATGAAGATGGAAGATAGGGTATGGACCATAATAAAAACAACAATAATCATTTTGTCAGAGAGAGTGTTTCAATATTAAATAGAGCTTTTAATCAACTGATATGAAATATATAAACATGCACACAAAAGAAATATTTTAAAATATTAAAAAAATGATGGTATATTTTGGAAGAATTTGTCATTTTTTAGTAGTGCCACATTCTGAAAGTTTTATTTCTAAGAATATTTTTATCTCAATTTTTTTAAACTTTTTAACTCTTTGACTCATTTACCTTTGAAAACCAGACAGAAATTCTCTTCTCTTAATAATCAAATCTTTGTATCATTAGGTATATGCTGTAATAATACTTGATTAGGTTTTATTTAACATTACTTTATGATCTTGGTACTACTGAAGGGACCCCTGAACTTGCTATTTGCCAAAACTAGATTTTCAAGCCATAGTAATTAAGTGATCACTAATCAACCTTATAAGAGGACAAAAAGTTTGGAGGGTAAAATACAGGTCAAAAAAGAAATGTCAGCAAATACTGAGGAAAATCAGTAAAATAATTGTCAAAAATATCGGGAGAATAACTCACTGGTAATTTTATCCAACAAAATTAACAGACAGACACAGTCTCAATAATATGTCCTATTACTAAGGTTCAAGGTACTCAGGAAAGTTGACAGTTGCCTTTAGCCTCGTGAAAAATTTAAGATTCAATCAAGACTCAGTTCTGATTACTAACATGAACTGGAATTTCAGCAAATGTCCTGTCAAAATCATGCAAAAGGATGAGATAATTTGAGACAGGTGAAATTTGAGAGGGTAGGCAAAAGCAAAATAAAGCATGCAAGTGGCAGAAATGAAAGTTTGGGTTAAGCTGTAAAGAGATTAAAAAGCCAGGGGGGAGAAAAAGAAAAAAAAATGTGAGAATATAGAAATGAACTAATTTTAGTTGGGAAAGAAATAGAATCCTGAGATTAGAGCTGGTTATATTTCCAAACAGTAGACTGGAATAAAGATTACAAGGGAGAATCTAGTTGTCCCCTCTCCTGGGCTGGTATATACTGCTGTGCAGGAATAGATGCAAGCCTCATACAGTATTCTATGGTATACACTGGAAACCAGATGGCTACTTCAATTATGGGATTATGTTGCCCACTACTGAATGGTTCATTTGAAATCAAATGACCTCACTTCAGGCATCTCTTATATCCCTTATTTATGTAACAGTAAGTGACAAAGATAACAACCAAATTAATTTAATCAAACAGAGGCTTCTTGAGTCATGTAATGAGCATAATGAAAATGAAAACTGTGGCTGATGCAGATGCCCAGACAATGTGGCTACTTTCATCTTGGCTCACGGACTCTCAGCGAAATGCTTGTAATAATTCCAGCTTGCCCTTAAGTTCATCTACAATAAGGGAGAGCACTTCATTCTCTTCCAGAAGTCCAAGACAAATCTTACAGCTCTTTATTGACTCCGAGGGGAAATAGACCCTGTATGAATGTGATGCACAGATGGGCTTTAGCTTCTATCACATGCTCATCACTCCTAAGGATCCTCTCTTACCTGAAAATGCTTTACTCAGCATTGAGAAGGCAGAGAGGAGTTGCCAAATCAAACATACTGGTCTTTTCCACATGAAATAGATTTTATATTGAAAAGGCAGATATAAAGAGGCCAATGCTGTCTCATTGGTAAGTCTGGAAATGGGAGATTAATTAACATTAACTCAAATTTTACTTAGCAAATTTGCCATAAGATAGCACTAGTTATTAGAGTTTATTGTAAAGGATTATATCACAGTTAATTGCTCAAGCACTAGAACTGAACTCAAATGATACATACTCCAATTCCTAACGATTTGACATTTAGCAAGTTATTAACATAAAGCATTCTTTTCTGTAAAATAGGGATCTACATAGTACTTATTTGATGGGGTCTGGTGATAAATGAAAAATGCATGAAAGCTCTTTATACAGAATCTAGCACATTGTTAGCATTTTATTAATAGGAGACAATATGAAGAAGGAATCATTTAAATTCAAAGATCATAGAGAAATCCTGGTGGGAGGTAAACATGTAAAAATAGTTTGAAAAAGCATATAAAGTGAAAACATCAGGTGCAAAGTGCTATTTCTAAATAATCTCATCACAAAAGGATGAAAAGAAAAAATATTGAGTTGGTTTGTTCATGTTAAAACAAAATAGCAGGGAAACAGATTTTATAGTCATACCTTGGATAGATAAAAAATTAAATTCTCTATTTTATGCTCATGCTTAGCCCTATACTCCCAATCCATTGAGCAATACAAACAAATTAGATTCTAGCCATTTCATGATTAACTCATTATTTCTTTGTTTCCTTGGGTTTTTTGGATTTGCGAAATCATTTCAATTTTTAATGCATTTAATTTGACTTTGAGGTCATGGTTTACATCACTGTATATGATTCAGAGTAATCACTTCACACCTCTTCAAATGCACATCACCCACCCACCCACCCCAGACTGCCCATATTCCTTTCTCATATATCACTGGGCACCCTCCCTCTTTCTTGCCATCCCACCATCTCCTTCTAGTAGCTTCACTTATATAGTCATATTTCTAGACTTTGTTCAGGTTTAGCTTATATCAGCTCCTTTGTTATTTTTTTTTCTTTCTAGCCCACATATGAGTAAAATCATCTATTTATTATACTTCAGCATAATCTCCAATTCTATCCATATTTTCACAAATGGCAGGGGTTCACGTGTGTGTGTGTGTGTGTGTGTGTCTGAATAATAACACCATTGTGTGTATATACCATAACTTCTTAATTCAGTCATCTAAGCCATTGGCACTTAGGTTGTTTTCATAAATTGGATATTGTATAGTGCTTCAATGAACATAATAGTGTGTATATCCCTTCAAATGGCCCAATTAACTTCAGTTAAGATTTTTAAAACTTTTCAAAACACTGTAAAGCTTGGGCAATGTCTGCAAGCAACCTGGTTGTACACAGGTGATGACTATTAGATCCCCTCTTCCCATTTACCAGGTTAGCCATCGGAGCTCTATAGGTTTGATGCTGTGTTGGATGTTCGTTTCTCTACCAGGACTTCTCCACCAGGATTTCAGCATGTAATGCTGGTAAGTGCTTGCATTCTAATCTGTTTCAGGGGGTTTTCCAGTGCATAATTGAGTATTCTGACAAAAATCTAATCAAAGTGGGCCTCCCTGGTGGTGCAAGGGGTTAAGACACAACCTATGCAGCTATCTGCAGCCACTGCTGCACGAATTTGATCCCTGGCCAGGGAGCTACCCACATGGTACAGCAGACCCTCCCTTACTCGCCTGCTGCTTCCCTCAGCAGTGTATTTCAGTCAGCCTGCCTCTTTTGCTCCTCACTCTGTCTCTAGTGAATCCTCTCAACCCCTGCCCCGATACCTCTGGCCTGTACCCCAGTTCTTGTATGCATAAATAAATCTTTTAAAAAATCTAATCAAAGCAAAAACAGTTCTTTGGGGCTCTTATGTTGTCTATATTTATCCACTTCTTTCCCTCAGTTATCTTTTCGCTTTTGTACTAGTATGTAATATAATTTAGTTCATTTAGCTCATGTGAACTGTTACTAAGTTGTGTTAAGTTATTAAAACTTCTTAAATGAACAGAATTTGGTCCACAAAACTTTAACTCAGAAATTTGGATTTTTTTCCACTAATTTCAGAATACTAGTATATAATTTTCTATAATTTCAGTCAATATTTTTAGAGTCATCCCTGTGTCCTGAATGCAGAGAAATAGTACAAAAAGAGAAAAAAGCAATACAATGATTTCACATCTGCAATTTAAAGCATCCTTTTTTTAAAAGATTTATTTATTTATTTATACAAGCACTGGGTACAGTCAGAAGAGCGGGAGGGTGAGAGAATTCACCAGAGCCAGAGTGGGGAGCAGAACAGCCAGACTGACGAAATACACCGCTGAGGGGAGCAGCGGGCGGCAGGAGAGGTCTGCGTGCCATGTGGGACCCTCACCCAGTGGCCAGGCATCTAACTGGCGCTGCAGAGGCTACAGGCAGCTTTGCAACCCAGCGCTCAACCGCTGCGCCACCGGGGAGGCCCTAAAGCACCCTTTTTTATATATCAAGCTCAAGGGGGAAAAGAGGAGCTACATTTCAAGATTAGATTTTCATCACATGTAACAGATGCTCCTAATCTAACTACTCTAACAGAAGTTAACATTATCAGAAAAGCTGCATCCTCCTACTTGTTGGAACTGGAGATCACTTCAAATTTCTTCTGTGTCATTTGGTTGTTCATCAGGAATTTTCATCTCTTAACATCTATCGATTTTATCTTCTCTTGCTCTAGTTCCTTTTGGTTAATTCTAGATATTATAGAGACTTGCAATTCAAAGTTTGATCCATAGAATAGCAATATCAGTATCATTTAGAAATGTTTCTCAAATGCAAATCTCCGGCCCAACCTCAGATCTCCTGACTCACAATCTTTAATTTTAATAAGAGCTGCAGGTGATTCACACACAGTTAAAGTTTTCAAAGAAATGGACTACATGATAAAAATGGGAATATGATGTCAATGACTAATTTACTGCCACTAATTTAATAAGAGGTGTATGCTGCTACCTACCACACCACTTCCTACCCGTGTTCACACTGAAGTTGCTCAGGTTCAGTGTCAACAGTGCTGATATTAACTTCTACGACAGTGTTGCCACTCTAGGGCAACAACAACACTGTCTCCTGCCACTCTTTAACACTGTTTATATCAATGTTATCAATGTGATGTGTTAAAGTAATATTTGTGTGTTTGCTAGTGTAGATTCTATTACTGAAGCAACTCTACTCTAGAACTGAAAAACATGAATCCAAAATGGCTTAGAGCATAATCTGAGTGCCAGAAATTGTACTTTATTTAGAATTATTTCCCATCTCAGATATTGAACAATCAAATGTACTCTTAATTCTATAGAAGATTTCTTTGTTTAGAAAGAACCCTGGTATTTAAAACAGTGTCCAATCCTACAGATATGCCCTGTCATACCTAAATTCTAAATTGATAAATATTACCTGAACCTAAGATCTTCGAGTATCTTAAAAATCTGAACTCGATATGCAGATTCACTAAATTGTTTACTTTTTATTTTGTCTTAAGGAGACATTGTTTTGCAGATTGATGAAAAACATTAAGTGTCAGAATACTAGTGTATAATTTTCTACAATTTGGGTAAGTGGCCTTTCTTTAAGAAAAAAGAATCTGCTATTAAATAGAAGTTTTAAAACTGTTACATTGGCAATTATATCAAAATAAATTAACATATTTTGGCACAGATAAGAACTTATTACATACTTTCAGTCTTTTAGGAATAAAGGTTGAATCAATATGTAAATTTGACAAGAATGATATGCCTTACAATGACAGATACGTACTTTATAATGACAAAACTCTTGAACATAAAAGGAAGTGATATAAATTTTAAGAAGAATATTGATTACACTTTAAAAGGTATTATATTTGATTATTAGAGAAATGAAAATGCATTTAGAATGGAAAGGGCTTTATTTTTATTTTGGTGCTAGTTTTCTAAAACCTTGGTTTAAACAGAGATGTTACTTCTCCATTGTCTCAATTTCTTTAGATTCTCTCTTTGTTGACACACTGCCACAATAGCAACTATTAGTTTTTAAAATGTGTTAAAATTCTAGAATATCTGATATAGTAATGATTTAAAGAAATTTTAATAATTGAAGAGACATCAATATTTTTGAACTCCTGGGGTAGCCTGGCTTCATTTCAAATAGAAAATTACAGTCCATCGATATTTCCTAGTATTTTCGTTTATTTGACTTGACAGTTTCTTTAAAAGCAAAATAAAGGCAAATGAAATAAAACACAAAGTACAACATTGTGCTGTAACAGTTATGCACAGAATCTTTTTCTATAACATTATCTTTGACCCGACAATGAATGTGTAACCTGTGCTGAACATGTACATATTAATATAAGACTTACTAAGTGGTTACTTTGATAGTCTTGAAACACTGATTTCATTTAAATAGGGAAATTGGGGTTTTATGATTCAGTTTAAGAACAGCTGTCTCTGTATATTTTTCTAAGACTAGAGAAAAAAAGCACAGAATGAATTAAACATTATGTAAAGTCAGCACTAGGATATACGAAGAGCCTGTCATTTAGCTCTTAGAAGCATATGCCTGACACCAAAATCATTCTTTCAACTCCCACCTGCACAGCTCATGTTATATATAATATTTTAGAATCAACTCTACAAACAGAAAGAAGCAAAGATTAGTTCTAGTGATAAACACTGAGGAAGAGTTTATTTTTGATAATCTCATATTACTTTCTTTTTATTTGTTGTTGTGTGCAAGCATTTCAACCAAAAAATACTAGCATTATACTCAATGTTAATGTTTTAATAGGAGGGAAAATATATTCATGTTATATCTTTATCAAATTGCTAAATATTCAAATACTGTTTTACTGTATTCACTCTTAATAAGAGATAATCTTCAAAATCAAGGACAGTTGAGAAGATTCTTTATATAATCATATATATAAAAAGGAATTTAATTAATCTAACTTCATTTGTGAATGTTTCCATGATTTCTAAGTTAATGAAATATCAGCAAAATATAAAGGGTTATTTGGGAAACCTCAAGCCATGGTGCGAGATTGTTTCTCTATTAGGAAATAATGACTCGAATGTTTGCACATCATGTGGAAAAAAGCAGGAAGTGGATGTGCTTTTACTTTATGACAATACAGCCTAGTATCTCTTTCATTGTGTTTGAGGAATTATTTTAAGAGATATTTCACTGAGCTATGAGATGTAGGCTATATTATCTTTCTGTTGAAAAGATGAGGGATAGTGAAACTGGAAGGTTAAATGGTTTGCTCACCATCTCATGCTAAGTTATTGGCAAAGGAAATATAGGAGAATAGCCTCTGGACTTTAAATCTGTTGCTTAGCTACTGATCCACAAAAGCTCCCAATTGACTTGAACTACACAGTACTACAGAATTTGAAGATTCAAAAAAGATCATGTCTCCACTGAATGAAAAGTGGAAAATTCTATCAACAGCTGTTCTAAATACAAACCATTTGATCACTCTCATCAAATACATTCTTATATTTGTAATTTCAATGAATTTTTGAATTTTTATATTGTTATAAGTAAATTCTTAGGTAATATTGTATTGCAAATATCCATTAGAAAATAACTACCCTAGCTCAATTCAAATGATCTCTGTGAAATATAAGTAGGTACAGAAAATTTTATCTTCCTATTTACTTAACCTCAGTCATAGTAAGTAAAGCCATTCCAGCTGTCAGATGATAAATGTTATTATGCGATCCATTCCACTACAAGGGAAAATTGAAATAGAATTCAGACTTTTTTCACGATTCAAATAGTAAATATATTTTGATTTAAAATACACAAGTCCGGTAAGATTTGGTTTGATCACAATAGTCTAATAAGAGAAATGCCATAATACCCTACAACCTCCTACCAAAAAATAAAAGATGATTTTAACTGATTCATTGATATTTGCTTTTATTTCACTATCCACTTAAAAGAAACATCTCTATCCCTTTCTATCATCTACTGGAAAATAAGGGTTGATAGCAGAGAGGAATGTGGAGAACTCTTGCTTATACAGGTGATATTTTGATTTCTACTATGACCCATTTAGCCCTTCCTCTGACCCTCATTCTATTTTTCCAAGTGAAATGCACGAACTTCCTGGGTGATGATGTGGACACAAAGTCCTTTACACCACAGATGGTAAGATTGCTCCGTTCTACTGCTGAGCTATGCCCTTTTGAGACCCTGTTTCTTTCAGTGGGAGATAATGGTCACCACAGCAGTAAGATTTATTACCAACACTGAACTGAGCAAGCTCAGTGGCTGCAGACATCATCAGGACTCAGAAATCCTCTGGAATTTGCAGACTCTATTATTTTTATACCTGCACCAAATACTCTCTCTCATGACCTAAATCTTATTCTACAATAAAGGTTCCCCAATTTCCTTCCCAGTACTATTTCTAGGATCAAAATTGACCATACATTTACTTCATCTGCAAGCATGTTTCTCAGTAGCATGTTATGGAAGCACCATTTTCGTTCTTAAAAATAATCTCCACTTTGGTCAAACTTTTTTTTAGTTTTATTTATTCTGGAGTGGTATTTGCAAATATATAAGTATTCTATAAAATTTACTTCTCTATGTCAGTTTTTTACCAGGTCTTAATGCATTCTCTACATTTTATGAATTCACTGACTATCATGCATATATTACTGATATATCCTAATGATTTCTGATGTTATGTATATATCTTTTTCATTTTTCCTGGTATGATAACTCTCTGTCAACATATCCTATGAGACTGAACAGAAGAAATAAGGGCCTGTTGTTAAACTCATACAATCAAAATAATCATAAGGAGAAAAACCAGTAGTAAGCCCGTTGTACTTTGATACCATTTCTATAATTCTTTTTTCGCTATAACAAACTACTGTGTTTTTTTGTAACTTATGTTAATAGTTTCATTCAATGGAAACAAAAAAATGAGTTAGGTGGAGATAGATCTTCACTAAGCTAAAGAAGCCATTCTATAATGGCCATTCTATAATTATGTAGAAAAACTTCATTCTCAGCAGGAGAATCTTAAGTAAAATAGTACACAGTTGAATTTTAAGACTACACTAAGCAAATGTAAGCTTTGATAAAATATATATACTTTTTGACAAGTTTAGTAAAATAACACTACAATTAATACATTGTTAATTTTGTAAAATATGTTGAAAGCCAATACTATGGGATGTTGTAATTACAAAATTAGATTCATTTATATAATCACACTTACAATTTTTATTTTTAAATTTCTTTTGAAAGGATGAAAGTGGATTGTCTTTATTTCTATGTTTTTGTACATTTATTCAGGAATAGCATAAACATTTGAAATAAATTGCTAAGATTATGGCAGCACATAAGGGTAGCTAAAATTTCATAAAATATTTATGTCATTAAGTTTTAAGTTAATCAAAAGGAAATAAGTCAAAAGGAAATAAAATACATGTGTCACTTTTTATGAAATCAACACATTCATTTTATCAACAATAAGAGAAATATTGTCATTATGTGCCTCTGTTCCTTGTACTTTCTATACCAACTAGAACTGGAACGACTTACAGAAAATGGAGACTTTCTTCCTTTTTTTTTTTTTGGTTGGTTTTACTTCTAAGGAATTTATATTTCTCAATCTCTCTCTTTTAATATTTTTTCTACCTTCTGACCTACATGTCTGAGTTCCAGAGCTTAGTCACTCTCTAATACACTATAACTCCTGAGAATGAAATGGCCAAAAGGCAAAGAAAAACATTTATTTCTGATAGAAGTAGGAACTGTGGTGTGTGGAAATAAAAATTCTAAAGAAATAAAGTACAGTAAAAGTTATAAACCACACTGTAAGTGCAAACTATCAAATATTTCATAAAATACTATGAAATTATGATTATGATTTTGTCTTAAAAAGCAACAAGTTTAGAATATTCCTAAAAGTGACATTTAAAGACAAGCTAAAATAACATTTAGTGGGATTAAATATCTTACTAAACAAAAATCACTGATACATTTTTTTTTAAACTACTGATTTACTTCAGAGAATGTCTGATAATGATACATTGTATTTGGGCAAGCAGTATTATAGTGTCTTGAACTTTCCAAAGACATCTAATTCACATTCCTCTGTTACCAAAACAGAAGACAGGAGAAACAATTGTTATTAATTGATAAAGCCATAATCTGAACTCATATTAGCTAATGTACACCAGTATGAATCCTGGTTGAAAGACTACTTGATAGATATTGTCACTCTGTTATTAAGGAATTTAAAATTTGTCATAAGAAACTGTCTATATTGACAAGTTATGAGAAATCATTCTTTTAACCCTAATGAAGTACATTTCATGTCAGAGCACTATTCCTAGGTCCAAGTCTCATTCAAATTAGTACCAACAACTTAGAGGAGTATGAAGTACAACAGCTAGGCAGGATATTGGAGAAAATAAGGTGAAAATCCTTATGGAAAACATCACTGGAAATTGTTTTCTTGGTAGTGTATGGAGTATCATTTATTTTTTAATCAGCTCCCCTAAGAATTACATGAATCAGTAAATTACCAAAATAGAAACATGGCAC